CATCCATCCATCCATCCATCCATCCATCCATCCATCCATCCATCCATAATCCATCCATCCATCATCCATCCATCATCCATCCATCCATCCATCCATCCATAATCCATCCATCCATGTATTATCTTTACCCACTTCTTCCTTTTCAGGTCACAGGTGCCCATATCCAGCCATCCTTGTGCGAGAGGCAGGGGACACCCTGGACAGGTCTCCAGGCCATCACAGGGACACCCTGGACAGGTCTCCAGTCCATCTCAGGGACACATAGAGACAAACGAGACAAACATTCTCTCTCACTTAGGGACAATTTAGTTACCAGTCAGCCTAACATGCATGTTTTTGGTCTGTGGGAGGAAACTGGAGCACCTGGAGAAAACCCACGCAGCACGGAGAGAACATGCAAACTCCACCCAGAAAGGTCCCCGGACCAGGATTCGTTCTGGCGACCTGCTTGATGAGAGGCAGCAGCTCTAGCACCATGCTGTAATAATGTTTTCCTCCATGTCCAACATTATTGAAGTTAACATGACTCTGTTTTTAAAGGTGCACCTCACCGACACATAGAAGAAATCCTTAACAAATTCAAAGCATCAATGTTGATTCCACTTCAATAAAAACGTCAGTGTGTAAAGTTGAATCAAAACAAGGATTAAATAAAACAACATACACGGCTGAACATTCCTAATAAAATGAGCAGAAACTGAGCGGACGGCACAATGTGCCGGTGGTTACCTGTCGTAGGCCATCACAACCAGAATGTTCAGCACCGTTGTGCCGTACGTGTGCACACAGACAGCCTGAACATAGGCCGGGGCGTAGGCGATCTTCCTTTGCCCCATCAAGAAGTGCATCATGAGGCGAGGAAGCACCACTGTGGCCCCCAGCAGATCACAGAGCATCAGGTGACAGATGAGCACAAACATGGGTCTGTGGAGGTTCTTGTCCATCACAATGACACACAGTACGACCCCGTTCCCCAGTAAGATCACGAAGTACGCCACCAGAACCAGGACGAACAGGAGGGGACCGGATCCTGGAGGAACATCAAACCCTATGAGTTCGAAAACAATCGGCTGTTTGAGAGGAGTTACCATGGTTTGGTTCTCCATCCAAGGCAGAACAGTTCTGTAAGAGAAGAACATTAACACACAGAGAACAGGCAAAGCCTTAGATACCATGAACCTGCTGATGGCTTGTCACAAATAATGTGAAGGTTTATTTGACAAAGATAGATCCCACTGCCATACCTCCAGATCGTCCAAAGGAGACAAGAAGAGATGATGCCTACATGTATAATATTGTTTAAAGAGAAGTGTCCACTTGTTGAGGACAGCATGAAGCCTCAGAGCTCTGATGTGACTTGGTGAGGAACGTCTTCTGGCTTATAAATGACTTTTTGTTTGAAACCTTCCCCGAGTCAGATGCACCATGGAAACACCAATCCTACTTGTCAGAGTGGAGGTGTGTAAAGGAGGAGGCACATGCTTCAAAACAAGAGTCAGGAGGAAGATGAACCGATCAGGAAGAACACGGCGGAGTCCAAGAGGCCCTAAACCAAAAATGAGACTTCAACGGCAAAACGGAGACAGAGAAGGAACCAAGGAGGCAACGGTACAAGAAGATGGAGAGGAAAAACCGAGATCCTCATTCAGAACAGAGGAATCCATCATCCATCCATCATCCATCATTCATCATCCATCCATCATCCATCATCCATCCATCACCCATCCATCAACCATCATCCATTCAGCATCCATCATCCATCCAGCATCCATCATCCTCAGTATATGCCTCACACAGCTCTTGGTGTGTCTTTTCTTTTTGGCTAGGACACTGTGGCTTCATTTTGGAAGAACATGATTCAAGTCTATCTTGTCACTATACCTTCAAGTTATCTTGTTTTATATTGGCAGTGACGTAGATACGGGACAAAGTTGTCAGGCCAACAGAGATTTTTCAGTAGTACATTTCAAGCAGATTAACACGTGTCATAAAAGGGACTGATGCATATATCAGAAGAAGCTTGTGCATGCATTTAGCTCATTAAAACCAACCGTGTTACATGTCAGACAAATCCATCATCCTTCTCAGGTGACAGATATATTTGACTTCACATGGTGATTTTGTTTTGTGCAACTACACAAAGATGCCTAAAGTCCATCAAATAAAAATGACAACCGAGGACACCATATTAGAACTCAAGGTTGTTTTGTCATGGTTTGGGGTTTTTGGTGTTCTTGATGATCAAAAACCAGCCACTAGGGAGCACCAGCCGGTGTATCTCTGGTTCTGGACCAAAGCCCGGGTAAATGATCAGGGTTGTGTCAGAAAGGGCATCCGGCGTAAAACACTTAAATGAAATTTAAGTAAAGCCAAAACTAAAATGTGACTCCATCAAAGCAAAACCATAACGGATCGGTCGAGGTCCGAGTTAACAACGACCACCGGTGCTGTTGACAAACAGGGTGCCGGCAGAAATTGTGCTATTGTTATTCAAAGACCACAAGGAGGGAAACATGTCAGGAGACACAGGGAGAAGAGGAAAGTGAAGAATGTAGGACTGAGGGTTGAAACTCTAAATGTGGGGACAATGACAGGAAAAGGAAGAGAGCTGGCTGACATGATGCTGAGAAGGAAGGTAGATGTTTTATGTGTCCAAGAGACCAAGTGGAAGGGCAGCAAGGCTCGCAGCATTGGAGCAGGGTTCAAACTGTTTTACCATGGGGTGGATAGAAAGAGAAAAGGAGTAGGGGTGGATAGAAAGAGAAAAGGAGTAGGGGTGGTCCTGAAGGAGGAGTTGGCAAAGAATGTAGTAGAGGTGAAAAGAGTGTCAGATAGGGTGATGTGTCTGAATGTAGAATTTTTTTCTTTATTTAACCTTAATTATACAGGTAGTCTAAATGAGTCACAAGGATTCATTTTCAAGAGAGACCTGTTCTAGACAGACAACAATATAGAGTAAATAACATTCTTCTTTTCTCATCTTCCACCATTTGGTCTTCTTTGATTTTACTCTTCTTTTCTTCTTCACAACAACAGTTATTCTACACACAACCGTCCGATGCTGTCTGGCCACACTTTCCCCTGCCACAACCTTAAGGCTCCAGTATACTCGGGTGGACCGTTTTACGCACGGACTCAACTGGCACTGTCTGTAGAGGGTTGAGACTTCATGCTCGAGCGTCCACCCTGAGCGGCTGCAGAGCAGCTCCACAGACAGGTGGCATTTACCTTCAGGACAAATTGAGTCGCCGATTGGCCATTTGCTTACACGCCTACTGGATTGATTGACAGGTTGGAAAGAAAAGAGCTGGTAGCTCCTGCTGCAGCGGTGATCTGAGTTTATATGTTGTTAATAAAACGTTCTAAAACATAAAAAAACAGGGAGTCCTGGTCCTGCAGCCCACACATCAGACCAGCCCACCAGGAAATCTCCAGACCCTCCTTCAGCCACGCTGGACCTGAGTTTAATTCTCTCGTGACAAATTCCTTAATTTCTCACCATTTCAGTCATGGCGTCAACGGAGGAGGAAGAGATCACTGCCTCTTGGCAGAAAAACAAAAAAATCAAAGAAAAGGCCATTTTTGGGGAGTGGTGGCGCAGAGGTTAGAGAGGTGGGCCTGTGATCCGAAGATCGCCGGTTCACGCCCCGGCCCCGACAACATCAAAAAAATTGTGGGTGGGGTGGGTGAAACACCCACACTTGCCCCCACCCTCATTCGCTCCACTCTGGGCCCATGAGCAAGGCCCTTAACCCCCACCATGTGCTCCCTAAACAGGTCTCTCTTGAAAATGAGTTCTCGTGGCTCAATGAGACTAACCTGGATAAATAAAGGCTAAATGAAAAAAAAAAAAAAAAAAAAAAATGAAAAATTAAACCAGACCAGGGATGAAGGAGGTGAATTTAATACATTGGTGTCACAAACAAAACAGTCTGTCACCGGGCAGTTTATTGTGCGACACAGAATATGTGTACACGGTCGTAAAAATTGAGCTTTGCACGGACATGCCCTGCGGGCGTCCGTTTCGACTTTAATCAGGTACGCACAGACCTCAGCGGACTGACGTATGCCCGAGTATACTCGGGCTTTTACAGTCTCCAGTCTCCCTCAGGTTTCCTCTTCTACACAGAATGTAGTCGACCTGCGTACTCCTTCCTCCACTCTTATAGGTCACTCTATGCTCCTCCCTCTTTTGGAAACAGGTGTTGACTACAGCCATTTCCATTCTCTTGGTGAAATCCACCACCATCTGTCCTTCCTGGTTTCTTTCCTTGACACCAAACCTACCCATCACTTCCTCATCCTCTGTTTCCTTCACCAACATGTCCATTCAGGTCTGCTCCATCACCACTCTCTCCTCCCTGGGAATACTCTCTATCACTTCATCCAGATCTTTACAAAATGTATCTTTCTCCTCCTCATCACATTCAACCTGTGGAGCATAACCACTGACAACATTTAGCATCAGACCTTCTACTTCTACCTTCAGACACATCACCCTATCTGACACTCTTTTCACCTCTACTACATTCTTTACAAACTCCTCCTTCAGGACCACCCCTACTCCTTCTCTCTTTCTATCCACACCATGGTAAAACAGTTGAACCCTGCTCCAATGCTGTGAGCCTTGCTGCCCTTCCACTTGGTCTCTTGGACACATAAAACATCTACCTTCCTTCTCAGCATCATGTCAGCCAGCTCTCTACCTTTGCCTGTCATTGTCCCCACATTTAGAGTTGCAACCCTCAGTCCTACATTCAGTCTACATTCTGACACGTTTCCCTCCTCGTGGTCTTCGACTAACAGTAGCACAATTTCTGCTGGCACCCTGTTTGTCAACAGCACCGGTTGTTCCTTATCCGGGCCCCGACTGATCTGGTATGATTTCACTTTGATGAACTCACATCATAGTTTTGGCAAAAGTGTTTTACGTTGGATGTCCTTCCTGATACAACCCTCACCATTTTCCCGGGCTTGGGACCAGAACCAGAGGTACACTGGCTGGTGCTCCCTAGAGGATGGTTTGTTGAATCCTCCAATTAAAAACTACATTTTACAGGTTTTTAAATAATAAATTGACAGATAAACATTTTTTTCATAAAATAAATATTTCTGACACCAACTCCTGAGCTCTTTATTCTGTCTATTAGTGATAAAGAATTTTCCAATCGCCTCTACGTTAACTGATAAAACATGAAGGTACTTTAGACATGCAGCATTTTTGTTATACTTTTCGTTCTTGTGGCATCCTGTTGCAGGATCCCAGGTCCTTTTCGTCTTTGTTTGTGTTTTAGATATATTTTTTTAAGATATTTGTTAAAACTTCTGTATGTTAGTTTAGATGCTGTGCTGTTTAAGTGACTTTTATTAGGACTCTAAAGACAAACTTTTCTAAATGGGTTTTTAGACCAGATTTTCAGACAGAAAATTCCAGATTTGCATTTCTTGCTCAGCTTTGATGCAATAAAGACAAGTACTGGACTTCTGCACACCACATCAGTCTTACACTCTGAGGTTTATGATTAGAAATATGATTATTATAAAATTTGTGATCACTGATTAATGATTAGTATACAATTATTATAAAAGCTGCAGCAGTATAACTTTTCTCTGAGAGTTAAAGGATGGGATCTAATTCTCCTCACTGTGATCTTCGTGCTACAGAAGCTGTGAGATCATACTTGGAAGGCAGTTTTCTATTTGAAAACAAAGTTTTAAATTTGTTGTAGACACTGAACTGTTGCTTGTTTGGGGCCCGGGGGGCCACGTTTCTCCGTAATGACCTATCAGTTTCATCAGAGCTCGTTCATATTGCCACAGCTGCCGGTAATGAGCGTTAATGTTTTTGAAAGAGAGGCGATCATTAATGAGGTCCGCTGTGAGCCGCTCCCTAACAAACACTTAACAACAGTTTCTGGTGGTAATTAATCCTCCGGGAACGAGGCGGAGGCTCAGCAATCTGAGATTATAGGAGTTCAGAGAATAACAGTAATTACAAGAAGTCTCCGGAGGTCTGAGAGGACTCACCTCGGTCTCACATCAACTTCTGGTTACTGATTATTAACACAACAACATAGTTTGACTCACAGTGACAGAGGTCACCAGAGGTCAGACCTTCACGA